ACAAGCTCTAAAAATAAAGCCGTAATCATGTTTTGTGATGCATTTTCTCCTTATTTACATCACAACATTTATTTCGCCGTCGTAACCATTTTCTAAAAGTGTTGTTAAAAATACATTGTTTGTTCTTAACAAAAGAAAATTCATTAAAACGAATATAATAAATTAAGTCTGCGAATGACAAAAAAAAATGTCGGTAAAAGCGTGGTTACTAAGTCACGATCGGTAGCTCGCTGCGAAATGAAAATAATTACATGTCAAATGAGTTGAACGACGTCTATTTAAAATGTTCACTGTACGATGGCAAGTTACGTCACGATTAATGCCCCTCATCATGCCACTAGAGTTGCGACGCATTTGTTGTTTTTTTTTAATATGCAACAAATACGTTTTTTAGTCGACTACAGTAAATTAGTCACATTCCTCAACTCGATTCTGTCGACTTTGTCAGTGATATTGTCAGATTAGTCTATTACACTGGCCGTTAATGATGACACTAGAAATCTATTGTAAAGATTAATGACAGTTATTTAACTATTTGATTCTTTTACAACGCCACCACACGGCACGGATTACACTAATAAAACATACGGAATACTTCATTTTCCGTAAATTTTATCGGTTTTATTATTCAACTTGATTTTTGATAGTTTTGATTATATATTATGTTTTGAAGAGTTCTTCTAACTAAAGAAGTCCCTTTGCTACGGCACGGTACCACAGTCTTCGCGATATTTGACATTTTCTACAAAATTCCATAAATTACATTTTAGTTAGCATATTTCCGCGGGACTTCTTTCGCGAAAAATATTCTAGTTTAAGCCTAAGTCTAATTACAAACTTTTTGTTATAATAAGACGGTATATATTCAAACAAAGTCCCATAGGTCTGGGATTTTGTCCCATGTTTTTTCAGGACTTATAACAAAAAAAGTTTGCTACCATGTCGTAAAACGCAACTAATGGGATATTGTTTTTTTTTTTACAATTATCTTTCTATTACTTTATTCACAATTTTTCATCTAATCCTATGCTGGTTTGGCTGAACGTGGTCCGACTAGCTTGCTGCTTTTTGGACTCTACGAGTATCTACTCCGCTACTACCCTTACCTCAGGGATTAAAGACGTGACGCTATACATGTTCAGGCAAACTTATGATCAAAATCATTTATCAACTTCAACAAAATTTTATAGCTCGTTATCTTTAAATTAATATGGAGTTATGTCATCATAATATGCATTAGAAATGTTTTAAACTTAATTAATTAGAGAGGACTAAATGGCAAAGTAATTTCTTTTCATGTTGTTAAAACTGACTGATAGTAACAGACAAAGAACACCTTTTAAAATTCTATTTTACAAATAAAAAGTTATCTTAATTACATTTTAGAAAGCATCCTCTATATTGTTGTTTATATTTGAAGGAACCATTTACACGCTGAACAGGGTGCTGCAGCGTACGTTGACCCCAACAATAGGGGCGTTACTCCCCTTGAATACGAAAGTATTCTCGCAAAATTCTATCGCTAGCAAATATGAAGATGAGATGGAAAGCGTTGGATCTCGCGTTATTGGGTCGTCGTTGTTCAGTTACGTTTATGTACGCTTGTTGCTGGTTGACGGTTTTCTCGGAGACTATATTTTTATTGTATTCGTGTTCTGTGTTGGATGTGAATAAACTTGGTAGGTTCAAGAAATATTTTCACGCAGACGTTGTTGTGAAAGTTTTGTTGGTTTTTAAACATTTACACTACATACTACGTACTATTTCTTTTTTCTCACAATTGTTTTATTTTAATTTTTAAAGTTTTATGCCGCATAAGGAAAAAAATTGTCTTGTCTGTTTGTTGTCCGTCAATAAGTCTATCTGTTGGGGTTATGGGGTAACGGGTTGACGGATGTCAAATATTTTGATACTCGCAAACTTACTCATTAAATGAAACTAATTGAATATAATAAATTATAACTACTAGCTAGTACACAGCGCGTTGCTGCCAATTGTGGAAATGTCATATTGTTTAATTAGGAATGATAATACATTAGAATAGAATAGAATCATTCATTGAAATTGTATGATCTATTTCAAATAAAGTCGGTACGATACGCGCGCCACATACTGTAAGTTAATTGTACTATGCCTATAACAAGTTGACAAGGTATTACCACAATATGATGAATGGTAAGGCAGCGCATAAAATACAAACAACAAACATAAGAGCATAAAATACAAACAAATAAACATATCAAATACATCATGTCTCTGTCCCTTGGAGCTGTGAAAAAATCAAACTTCTAAACCAACGCAATCAAAATATCGTTTATGCCGCAAATTTTCGATATTACGCAAGGGAATCAAAAGCTACAGGGTACTGCCCGTTAAAATTTGGTACGAAGCAACGTATTATAGCAGCGATAAAGGAAAAATTGCGAAAAACTTAAATTTTTAGTTACATCATATAATAAAAATATTTTTAATAATTTTAAACTTATATACCTACGAATTTGTTCGGAACCCTCGGTGCGCGAGTCCGACTCGCACTTGGCCGGTTTTTTTTTAAATATATTAGATCTGGTTAACCATCTAGGGGTAGCGTAAGAATATCAACTACTCCATATCGTCCCATAGATGTCGTAAGATGTGACAGAGGGTAACTGAAAGAGTAGATGAGCAGCAGCTGATAACAATTTAAATTTATAAAAAATTGCGGTTGCAACGGTAACTGCGGTGCCAGCCCACCCAACAAGAGGCAAAACAAGAAAATAAAAAGAATGTTGGCGCGTAACACGTATTGCAGAAATTAGTGGTATATACCTCCGATGTAAAGTAAATATCCCAGTGCTGGAGATAAGTCTGGTCTATCCATTATTTTTGAGAGTATAAAGGAGCTGATAGTTTCGACAATCTATCGCTCTCTATAAAATTCATAAACATGTAGTGACGGATGTGGGATGTAATTTATTTGAGAGAAGAGTGAATATGTTTATGCTAAGCTAGTGCATTTTATTATCCAAGATTGCATCACTACGATCGTACTCAAGTTTTAGCTTATAATTTATACAAAAAAAGATTGCTCTGAACTGATCTAGTGCGAATTGGTAACTTTCGATTAGTTCGAAATAAGTTTATGTTTTTTATACTCCTTTCAATTGGTTACCTTTACTTAGAGTAAATCAATTATGAAATTGTAACTATCTATTTTAGGAGTGATGTAATTAGTTACAGAATCAAAATTCATACTCGTAGTATTTCTTTGCTTGGAAAAAACTTCTTTATTATTAAATAAGCATTACGAGACTTCTCAAATATCTAAATGCTTCCTTTGCTAAATTATTGTGGAAAATAATGTTATGTCGCAAGCTCACTTGGACTGTTGAAAACTTTAGTAGTTGTAGTTATTTGCTCCTAGCCCGGATTGCGCATTACCTAAGAAAAGCGGTGCTTTTCTCCTTAGTTACGTGTGATAGTAATCGTTGGTATAAAATGTTTTCTAGTCAGAGATAAGATTGCAAAGTCAACATCTTTTCCACCAACCTACTGCCCCTAATATTACTTTCGATAATTTGTTTTTTTTATAGAATAAGAGTGACAAACAAGCACACAGTCTAACTGATGGTAAGTGAATGCTGTGGCCTATAGACATATGCATTTATCCCCAACTGAGAATCAAAAGATTAAAGACAGATGTTGGTCGTATGGAAAGAATTAGAGATAATAACAACATGCTAATCAAACCAGAGGGAATTGCTTAAATATTCAATAAATACTTTATCAACCTTACAAATAGACAGAATATCAATAAATATTAAAACTATAAATAATATTTTGTTTAATAACAGTAGTATGTATCTCACGCCAACTCATCCTAGGGACATGTAAGCTTAAGTCTTTAAAGAATACAAATTCAATAGGTTATGACGAATAAATATAAACGTTTTAAAACTACGCGCTGAATACATTTCGGAACCACTAATTTACATAATAAATTTGTCATTAAAACAGGGTGTATTTCCAACGCGTAAGAAATTCTCCATTGTTAAGCCTTTGTATAAAGTGAGAGATAGGCAAGACGTTAGAAACTATCGACCGATTACTCTTATTCCCGTGCTCTCAAAAGTTTAAAAAATAAATGTATGAAAAATTATATTGTTATTTTAACGCCATTAACATTCTAAAACCGAAACAATTTGGATTTCGAAGAAAGTGTTCCACAACATTCCACAGCATGTTATGAATTGACTTAAACCATAACTGAAAGCTTACATTGACGTACTCCACTTTCAACTATATTTCTCGATATGAGCAAAGCTTTAGACTTCGTACCACACAGTGTTCTTCTTGATAAATTGGAAAGATATGGAATAAGAGGAACAGCCCAAAACTGGATCGAAAGCTATCTTAAAAATCTTAAGCAGCGTATTGAAATTACAAACAGTTTTGGCGTTCCGTAAGACTCATTACCCACGATCTCGGATGGTGCATCCTTTAGGACGACACGGTAGTGCGGATTTTTCTATCCAGAGCGTTAAGTTCAGTTTGAGTCCACCTGAGTATGTCAAAGGTATATACGAGGACAGGCATGACCTAACTGTTATTTGTATATATCCGCCTTATCAATACTTATATTTTGTGACATACCCCGATATTAATATGTTTCAGTATCGGAGAGGGTTCTTATGCTGATGGGCATAGATAAGGCTAAGCCCTCAGAGTGAGCCACCTTTCCCCTCTCAACACACTCGCTCGAGGATCGCACACTTATCCCTCCTCAGTTACTTTCTAATAGAACCGCTAAAATCACAAGTGATGCTTAGCAATTCCATAAGATGAGAGGGAATACTGAAGGCGAATAATTTAAGATCAACTATATAGAAAAGGTGGGTCACTTTTGTACCTCCTTTCCGAAGCTGAAATTCCCTTCGGAGCTCTCCAGTAAGGTACTGAGAGGGTATAGAGAGAAGCAGAACCAGATTGGACTCTAAACAATCACACTGGAAGATACCCCTTCATATCCCTATGTGGTTCTCCGCAGCCATCATCCGCTCGCCTAGATGACAAAGGATCGTATTCCATTGCCCCATACACTGCCCGAGGAAGTCTCTAAATGTACAGTCAACCTTGTACAGCTCGAAGACCTTCTTCAGCCATGTATGAGGCAACGAGTCGAGTGCCTTTCTGTAGTCTATCCAGGCGGCGGAGAAGTTCCGACGGTTGCGTTTAACCACCTTGCCAATGACCGCGTCAATGAGGAGTAGTTCCTTGGACCCACGACCACCGCCCCGACAACTAGTTTGAGCGCGCGAAAACACCTGATTTAAATTCAGGTGACGAGTGATTCTCGCCATCAAAATGGGAGTCAGTGTCTTGTATATGGTCGGTAGACACCTGATGGGGCGGCATTTGTATAGACTCGGGTCTGTGGTATCCTGGTCTTTAGGAACCAAGTAGGTGATACCAGTAGTGAAGAGGCTCGAAAGCGACTTCTGGTCTAGAGCCTCTTGAAACAATCGGGCGAGCACAGCGTGACTCACCACAAAACCCTTAAGCCAGTAGTGATGCAGCCCGTCGAGACCTGGCCTTTTACAGTTCGGTGCTCTAAGGACCGCCTCATCTACGTTGTCCGGCATCATGATGACGGGGTCCATGAGCGTAACATTCGCACACTAGCTTTCAACACTTTCGTCCAAGGGCCCTCGCTGTGGTTTATGGGCTTTGACCACAGGCCGCGCCAGAATGCTACAGTGTCGGCCTGTTTGGGTGCGTGGCCTGTTCCACGAACCACGATCGAAAGATTTATAGAGCCTCCTCCGATCTCTCTGGAAAAGACGCTTCTGGTTGAACCGTGTCGACCTCTCGGTATATCACCGAATCCGCTATCTCCAAGCAGCGATTCACTGCTTCAAGTCGTCTATGCGCTCCGTCCGCTCGTTTTTGCGTAATATCCGACTGGGACAAACTGTCATTTGTTCCAGCAAACGCCATCCAATTCTTTGCCTGTTATTGCCCGACCTTTTCTTGTACTATATCCTCTCAGAAAAGAGAAAGGCATGCACCCAAGAGCGGGACGTATATGGACTGTAATTTTGAAGTCATAATTAATATAAAAGTGTTTTATTAAATTATTTTAATAATAACAATTTACTTCATCATCACTATTTATTATAAATAAGTCATATACATACTATAACACAGCTGTAGCACAGCAATCAATTATTGTTAATAAACCCTTTTATTATTGAGATAAGTCCGCATACTGTTGAGAGTAGCGCGTAAATAAGTTTTTAATTAAATATATTATTTGTGATTGGCAGTCCTAGCCTAGATTTCATGTTTTTGACACAGCATATAAACTACATTATGAATCGATGTTTTCAGTATTTTGTTGTACATAATAAATATAAATTTCAAAATCCTATCTCGTTCACTTTTTAGATAGACCTCACAACAAAAGTGATCTACGGACAACTTTGACGAGCCCTCATATCTGAAAATAAAAAATTATAAAAAATATATTTTTGTACTGTACTCAACGAGCTCAAGATAATGGCATCTTACATGCTAGGGTAGGAAAAAAATTTTCGGCTCCCTTTTCATGTATGAGTTCTGCTTTTAAAAATAATTTAACGGGATTTCTAATTCAAGGTTCGATTTTGGGTCAACATTATACATTAAATATATAAATTTTAAGTCTGTAACTCATTCTGTCTACCAGCTAGAGATTCGTGAGATACGGACGGACAGATGGTCAAACAGACAGCGGAGTGACATTGGCAATGATCCGTTTTTGGATACGGAGCCGTAAAATTATATTCGTATGAATTACACGACAATTAACGCCAATGCGCCAAACTATTCATTTCACAATGGAATTGGAGTGAAATTCATTATGTTATGTCAAGATAAGTTCGTAATTTTCTGTGAACTTATATATTTTGTATTCGCAAAACCAAGCTTAATAATAATAGTAGTAAAGTCGGTGAATAATAACAAACGACTTCGTTATTAGGGCTTGAAATGTCATGACTTTTTTAAAGGTACGGCTATTTTCGATTTCGGAATATATGTATTTGGTCCAAAAATTAATATTCAAAAACTGAAGGAAGCCGAGCTAACTATGACATCGGATCGTCAAACACCTCAGTCCCCCGTGATCATAGGTACTGTTAAGCACCCGAATCGTCGGGAATTAAAAAAAAGTTAAATTAAACGCGATACAATCCGTAAAAATTAGTTTCATTTAATATGTTGTCTTCGCGTAAATATAAGAAATCATTATGTATGTTAATTTAATAACTTATTCATCGAGGATCACATAATAATACATTTCTATAAAAATCAATAACCGTATTTGAATTTGTATAATTGAAATTTGTAGATAATATTTCCGATATTGAATATTGAAATTTTGAATTTGGAAATATTATTAAAATATTTTTAACTATCATTATTCAAACTGTTATTGATTAAAATTTCAATGAAAGACGATGGTTCATGTAAATTTATTAGTTTATTTTTGAATTCATGAGCACTCAATAAAAGTTTTGTGCGTTTGTAATCGTATATTTGAGGGCTTATTTTGTTTTAAAAATGACCGCGTTCTCACAGAATACCAGCGTAAAATAGCATTAAGCTGCTACATTATGTTTCGTGTGGTGAATGTAGAGAACAGGACACCCTTTTTACTGAAAATGGGGCATTCTATTCTATCGTAATGCTCAGAGGTGACAAAACATTTTGGTTCTTATACGAGGATAATTGTAGATGTCTATGATCCACATCATCCACTTACTAACTGTTTGCTCGTTTGTCACCCTTATTCTAAAGAAAAAAATTAAAGTGGATTTGAAATAAAAGAAAATCTTCAATTTAATTTTAAATTGACGGTGTTGCGGCTCATAAGTAACGACTGTACGTTATTTCTTGAAAATAATTTACTTCGCTATTGAATCGCTGAGTTTGTCGTACCTAAACAAACAGACTGCAACAATAGTAGTTTGACTCACAGGACGTCTTCCAGTTGAGATTGCCTCGTAATTACATGAAGTAGCTTTGATATAAGAACATTGTTTCTTCGTAATATAAACTTTTTCATTCTTCTGCTTACTGATTTTACTACAGTCGTAAGTACTCGGGCGCTCCTTTGAAGTCTCATTACGTCCTAAGTGTTATTGATTGTTTTGGTTCTAACATTTGAAAAATATATTATTTTAAACGACTTCAAAGAAGGCACTAATCAGTTATACTATATTTATCAATTTATATTGTCGATCTAGTCGTCTTGTTTCTGTGAAGTTAGCACGACCTAATGCAGTAAACATATACATAAATCTACATCTACACTTCTTCTACACTACTATATATATATATATATATATATATATATATACACTATTATAAAGAGGAAAGATTTGTTTGTTTGTTTGAATTGAATAGGCTCCGAAACTACTTGACCGATTTGAAAAATTCTTTCACCATTAGAATCCTACATTATCCCTGATGAACATAGGCTATATAATAGTTTCAAAAAGTTAGGGATCCGTATGAAAACTTCGTTAATGTAACCCAAGGTGTGAAAAAAAATACCAAAAAGAATCCTTATATCGCGTACGCTGCGGAAACTATTAATAATAGAGCAAAGTAATGTACTTCACTTTTATAGAAGATATCAATATCTACAAAAAAGTTTGCGATACCATATGTTTAACTATTACAGTTATGTCACAATAACTACTTTTTCATGTTAAAATGTGAAATAGTAACGCCGGTACAAAATAGGCCACATTATTCGTATCAGTACCTGTATCATGCATAACCACCAATTACGTTAACCATGTAATTTTAGTAACATATTTAATTTTTTAAATCTTTGATAATTCAGCAACCGTCCGTCGTGATGTCTCTCTCGAAGTTCGCATGTCGCAAGGCGCAGACGCGTGATATACGCTGGTGAAACCGCGGGGCACAGCTACTCATAAATATAACTGATTCCGACACTGATTAGTTGCCTTTTTAATAAATACAAGTGACAAGATAATATTCACTGTAGGTAGTTAAAAATGGTAGGCATTGATAGAGTACTCTTATAAGATTGACTACGTTACGCCGTTGTGGTCGCAAAACGAGGAGGTTCCTAATTTGAGTGTGTATTTTGGTATGTTACGCGATATCCTCGCCAATTGTGAACCGATTTTAATGATCTGGGCTTTAGTTCTTCGATTAACTGTTTTATTTATTTATTTATTTAAAATATTTATTGCACTTAAAATATACAATTGGCGGAATTAATGCCTTTAGGCATTCTCTACCATGAGCTAAAAACATGAGAATATAAATACGTGAATGTAAATATAAAATCATATATACGATACGTGTAAATACAAAAATAATTATAAATAACTACAAATAACCTAAATAATATACTCTGTACCTGATATATATCATACATAATGTTTAAATAATACATAATACATACATTTTAAGCATACTTACATACGAACATATTATACGAAAACTACTTAAAGAATTTATAATATCGAGCCATACATAACCAGAAACATTTAAATGCGAAAGTTAGTTGCTGGGAGAAGAAAGTTAATGGTCAGTCACCATTCTCTTAAAGGCTGCAACAGAAGTCGGTTTACTGATATGAGGAGGTAATTTATTCCATAGCCTTATGGCATCAGCGGCGAAAGACTGAGAAATAAATTTGGTACCGCGAGGAAAAACACATAAGGTAGTTCCCTCGGACGATCGCAGGTTACGATCGTGAGAAGAACCCAAATACTGAAACTGTTAACTAACTTTTTTGCCTACTGTTTTAAGCACTGACTTAAGAAGCTAGGTGAAGCTAGATGGAAATTATACACGTTTTCTTATACATTATACACCGTTGACGACATCGTGGAGTACATAATATTATAGCATAGATCAGCAGAATTGTGTTTTCTACACGGAATAAAGATTTGAGAAAAACCTAATTGTTCTTTTTCGTATTTGAATGTATTTTGATTGTTTCCATGTCCATGACTCTTTAGAAATATACTACATAATTGCATATTCAATCTTATTGCATCAGCTTTATACAAGGCTTAGGTAGGTTAGGAAGATTACTAGTGCGTATACTGATGACAAAAAAAATGAGATTGACTTCATTATGACGACCAGACGACAACTGTTCAGTGATGTCTCCGTGATCGCGAGGGTGAAAACTGGTAGCGATCACCGAATGGTTAGAGGCACACTGAACCTAAACGTTAAGTTGGAGAGGTCTCGTCTAATGAAGTCAACGCTCCGTCCCCCTCGTGCTCTGTTTCAAAGTCCCGAAACCTTTCAGCTCGAGTTACAAAACCGTTTTCAGTGCCTAGAAGACTGCAATGAAGTGGACGATATGAATGACAAGCTCGTGGAAACTGTCCATGCGGTTGGAGCTAAGTTCTGCAAGACCCGCCGCAGAAGAACACAAAAACTCTCCGATCACACTCTTAATCTCATGGCTGTTAGACGGGAGATGAAGCTACATTCTTCAACAGACTTGACAGCATACAGGCATCTGAACAGACAGATCTCCAAATGCATGCGGCGGGACTTACGCAACTTCAATACAGCTCGTATTGAAGAAGCGATCGAGCGGAACCAAGGCTCCAAA